AGCACCGTTTGGCTTGATTGTACGTTTCCCGTTCGAATCTGTTGGTTAATTGGCTGCTTCTCAGATGACCTATTTGCCGAGGCTGGCAACCGGTTTGCGAAACTTCATTGCTATGCGCGAAGTCATCTTCAGTGCCCGGTCGGGTTCGTTATTCCTCCACTTTTGGTTGCGTTGATATGGTTTCTGAAGAGTAGGTAGCTGTGCCATGATTCATTGATTATTGATTAGATAGTATGCGATTTGATCAGTCCTTTCAAGATTCCGGATGCGTCGTGGTCTGCTTATCTTGCATCCAGTTGATTTGCTGAATATTTCCATTTCAGTAATTCCGTTTCTTTAGCTCGCCTTACCTTCCTGGTATGTTGCGTTTCAGCTTAATTAATGGGATCAGTTTTATCAGGACTTTCGCAAGCCTTAACGTGGGCGAAATAGACAAATTGAGGAAATAAACTATGATAGAGCTGTTTTATTTTATGGAACCGTATTGTAGCATCATTTAGGATGCAAATGTAGTAGGACAAGACCAAAAAACAAACTTGAATTCGAAGAAAAAACACTTACGTCTCCCGATGCAAGCGCTCTCGTAGGCAAAAACAGCTCCGGATAGATGGTATCCAAATACCACTGGAAAGACTTGCAATGGTTTCGTTCACGAATCGCCTTTCGAGAGCTAATATCACCATAATCACCCTTAAAGGAGAAACACAGAAGAGAAGGGATAGATTAGGGTATAGATAGGGTTTATGATAGGTCCATTATATACGCGCATGATACAGGTGAAAGTTCAAATACAATTTCCGTGAGAATTTCGGATGACATCCCAACTCATCCAGGGCCGAGAGGGGTTTAGCCCTTATAAGTTCGGATTGTTAGCAGGAATGCCTCAACACCATGGGTAATAAAGACCTGCTTAACAATATAAGAAAATTGTGCATTCTAAGTGATCCGGAAGTTTATGCTTCGAAGGAAAATGTCGGCTAGTTTGAATCCAAGTCCGGCTTTCCCATGGCTCCCATCCGTGGCGGAGATATCAGACAGCTCATTCCCCGTGATTCCTTAGGTTGGTAGTATTGTAGCCAACCGACAAGAGGATAGAAGGCAAATATGGAATGTGGTTCATTAAAAAGCCTCAGTAAGTTTATTGGGATCTGATTGTGAGGGTGCATTGAGCGGCAATCATCAATCCTGAGTGTGTGAGGATAACTCAAGGGGAAATTAGTGATGTAAGCCTTCTGACAAAGAAGACTCGTCAGCACTACTTCAGAATGCCAAGAAAAAAATCGTTCAGCTGTAGCACCCTTTCGGTGCCTAACTGCCATGCCACCCAAAAAAGCATGACGATTGGGATACTGCCAGGTTGCCCAAGCCTAGACAAGGGAAGTCGGGAGGCAGAGGTCGGGTTCGAATCACGGACCTTTCGGTCAGTAAATTCGCGCTCTAACCACTTGGACCATCTCGCTAAGATCAGGAACCTAAATTCTTTAAGGCCCAGAGGAAAGTTATCAAAAACAAAGACTTCCCAAAGGCAGAGTGATGCGTCTCGGAAGACAAGCAAACGAGTGCCATTAAACTGGAGGCTAAATGCCTCCCACGAAAATCAACGTGCGGTTTAATAGCCAATACTGCGTTTAAGACCGTCAACAATTTTGGCAGCTTAGTGTTAGATGCGAGTAGCAGCAGTCTTGGGAAGGTTCGCCAAGGGAAGAAAGCCCCATGTAGCTGGANTCAGTAAATTCGCGCTCTAACCACTTGGACCATCTCGCTAAGATCAGGAACCTAAATTCTTTAAGGTCCAGAGGAGAGTTATCAAAAGCGAAGACTTTCCAAAGGCAGGGTGATGCATCTCGGAAGACAAGCAAATGAGTGCCATTTAACTGGAGGCTAAATGCCTCGCACGAAAATCAAAGCGCGGTTTAATAACCAATACTGCGTTTAAGATCGTCAACAATTTTGGCAGCTTAATGTTACATGCGGGTAGCAGCAGTCTTGGGAAGGTTCGTCCAAGGGAAGAAAGCCCCATGTAGCTGGAAATATGAGAAATCAATGCGAACCGGTTATGGTGCAAGAGAAAAATTGACCGCTCACTAACTGTTTCTACTTAGTGAAAGCGAAATCAAGTATACTGGTAGGCATGCATCCTTCCAAAATGCCTGAGCTTCTTCCAAAGAGCAGACTAATTAGTCAAGTAACGTAACAAGTAAATGGCATGTTTCTTCCTATCGTATTTACAACGTCTGTCGTGTTGATTGAATTCTGCATAGGCGGTGGTGGTAGGTATTGGCAGACATGGGGGCCTTGGGTCATGAGATTCCCCTCTCCCCTTCCCATTCAACTTTGCCTTCGAAGAACCATAGTTCCACGATATACCGCGGCAAACAAAGCCCGACCGATTTCAATCATCAAAAGTGAGGGATTTTCTAAACAGCAGAGCAAAACTGAATAACCAAAGTTCATTGCTTTGAAAACCACTGCAACGGGTGTGTTGAGTGGGATGTGAAAATTTCAGCCCGAAAGCGAACGATGTAGTCATTAACTGATCACAGACTCGAATCACCCCAGAGATCGGTGAAATGTGCACTGTTATTGATTGTAAACAAAGATTAAGCAGCTGTACAGTGTTTCTTGGCTTTTCTACCTAAACGTATCTTATCAGCCGAATGGAATTTCTATTGGAACTCTGAAATTTCATCCAAAAGCCTCAGAACTTGTCATGTTTGATGTGAAGAATGTCGAAAACCAGCAACACAAATCACCCAGATGTCTTCCATAAAGACATAAAGGGAGGATCGTCCTTCGTCACTACTTAACAGGAGCAATTTTTCCTACTTTTGTTGTACAGTTGTGGTGTGAGTGAGCTTGTGATGGGTAGTTAAGCGTTGTGGATGCGCCAGGGAAAGTAGATAAAGTTAGACAGGGACTATCTGCGCGTCCAAGAGATTGCTTGACTTCGCCTACGCAGTAAAATTTGCCAGAAAATATGAGTACAAGGCAGCAGGCAGAAGTTATGCCCAACCTTTCGCCGTGCGCGCAATTGTGGCTTGTGACCATACAAAACGTTAACTAAAGGGGCACGCAACCGGTCTCAGTCACACATTGTTGGCATTTGTACCTCCCAAGCACTAGTGAATTTTTTTAGCTACAATGAACTGATGGTGACCTACAGCAGTTTGTGACACGAACAACATACCGACAGAAAATAGTTGGTTCATAGCCACAAACATTTCAACAGCAATTGGAATCAAATAGTATCACACACACACACATGCAGACTGTCATGTGCTGTGGTCGAGAATAGGATGATGCGATCACAAATGAATGGAACAACGATATCGGATGATTTAATGTTCTTCCGTGGTGCAACTCAAATGATCGTGTGAGCCAGAACAAAACAAAGCCGAGACACGGACGGAAAAAAGGAAGTAGTTACACGCACCAAATTGACCCGTTTTATCTCTCTACGCTTCAGAATCGATGGGGTTAACTGAAAGGTTGAGCAGACCAGCAAAGTCCAAGAAAAAATGCATTTCCGGGGTTCCAACAAGTGCAAGGATGGGAACGGAACATTGACCAAAAAACGCACCATGGATGGTACAGTAGACGAAAATCAGGCCAACCTCCCCCCCCTGAACCAAGCTCTTACGACACAAGTTCTCTGCAGACATTACGAACCGCAAAGATATACTCGAAGAATGACGAGAGGAACGGACGCAACTGATTGCGCCACCAGATGTTTTAGCATTAGTCTGCTCAAATGTTTGAGGACAATATTAGGGTCGAGTTACAAAATCCAGTGACCTAAAGCTGTAACAAACACACAGCAAATCAACTTGGGTGAGATAGCAATCTACCGGTTGTTCCGTTAAGAAGATTATCATATAGTCCAGGAAATCGATGCATATCACAATAAAATTAGGGCGCCGGCAAATACAGGGGTTTCAATATCGGTTTCACGGTCAATTACCATAAATCTTGCGGACACAATGCCACACACATTGATATGACTCACAGTTGACAGTGCTTAAGGTCCCTCAATCTGTTTCGACTTTTTTGTAGAGAAAAGCCTGATGGACGGCATTTATTGGAAAATTCGCCATGGTGCAGTAATTATCCGTCGACGTCAGTAAGTAATTAAAACAGTCTCGTGCTCCCTCCAAGATGCATGCGGATAACCTACTTCTGAGATGTCTAATTCACAAAAGTGAAGGATGGAAGTGTTTATCAGGCATCAGTGTGATTAACTCGCACTTAGTCATCGCCCGAGATGAAATTTACATTCATCTCATGAATTTATTCTTTTTTGAACCGATTACAGAAAGATGGACTGAATGGGGCAACTACGGGTGAAAACATAGGTCACGATGCGACGATGCGTGCGGCATCATGTATGGAGGACCACTGTTAACCAGGTAATACTGAGGAAATTCCGATAGCATGGATTTTTAGCGAGAACAACAAGAAACTGTGGGGCTATCGGTAAAATGAGTACTGGAAAATAAGTAGCTCAAACGACGAATAATTTCACAGGAGTAGTGGAACTTACATCTGACTAAGTGAGAGTTACTCACACTGCAGTTCAGGTGCTGATGGCCAATGGTCGTGGATTCAAAACTCTAAGTTACCCAAGCAGCCAGTCGACAAGTGGCCACGTGATATAGATCCCGTGATTAAAAAATGGACGGCGCCATACACTAAGCGCGGGTTATTTAAACAAATGATCAGCACCTCGTGGCCAACTGACTGTTTAAAATTCTGGTTAGCACGTCCGATAGCCTGTGGAGTTTCTTAAAAGATGTGGCACTGTTGGTGATTCCAAATAAGGACGGCGCCCCTGTACAGTGCTTCTCGGCCTGGCTTCACCTACAGGGCGGAATCTGTATGGGAAATTCTAAAATCCCCCCATAATACCAGCAATCTATTCTTCCGCCCTTCGGGTGTCACTACATAAGAGCTGCAGGGGTTGGGCAACAATCCGGTTCAACGCGTGTCCCGCGATGAAGAACCAACCAAGGTAAAGATGATTTTTTGCGGTACAAGAGGATACGTGGATCCAAAGGGGAAGCTAACTGTATGCGTATGAGAGAAAGAAAGACTCGTAGGTTTTCGATTATATCGTATTAGTTGGACAAATCCACGCCTCCGGTGGCGGTTCGGCAGTGAAGCATCAGTGTGGAAGCTGATGTGGCTGTCTTTCATGATGTTGATGATGATAATGATGATGGTTCGGTGATGGGACCGGAGCTCTTTAAGATCCACCCGAATGATATCGCAAACAGAATTCACTTGCAGTAGTTTTCGTACGGGGGTCTGTAATTAGCTCCGAAGAACTCGACGTTCTCGATATCGTGTAAGAATGGACGAGTGTAGGAGTTGTATATCAACTTTTTCAAGAATTCGCTCCTCCCTGCTGGTCCCTTCCTCCCCCCCCTCTCAAATCGGTGGGAACCAGTTAATGAAGGGCTCAGAAAAGGCCTTGGAATCACGATGCCTCCATATTTTAAATCTCTCTTCTCTTGCAGGAGATTCGCCTCCGGATCGTGACCACCACGTTTGTTTTTACACAGGTTTCTCCAAATATTAGGGACCCCAACATCATATGCCACCCATGACAGAATAAGACCGACCTTAACGAAAAGAAAATGTCAGCCTCTTGCCATGGCGTGGATCCCAAACCTGCGTTGGTTTACGAGCTA